CAACAACAGAAAATCCAGCAACAGTAGCTGTAAAAGATTCCAGCAACAACAATGAAACGTTTAGCAACAACATAAAATTCAGCAACAACAGTTAAAAGTTTAAGCAACAATAGTCAAAAGAAGAAGAAAAAAAACAACACTAGAAAATACCTTAAAATCTAGTAGTAAAAGTTGTATTGAGCTCAACCGCAGTAATGCCAACATCAATAGAAACTAATCCAGCTAACTCTATATATGTAAACACAAACAACTAATAAGAATAATGTAATGTAATACTAAAATAAAATAGATTTTAAAATTCAAACATATAATTCATACCTGACTCAACCTTTTCCAATTCAACCAACTCTTTTTCTAAATCAATGACCTTAGGAGATTTGATCCAATTTTGAGTACAAATCAAAGCTTCAACGGTAGAGGGATTCAAGGAACTACGAAATGAATCAAGGACACGACCTCCTGTACTAAAAGCGGATTCAGAAGATACAGTGGATACAGGGATAGCCAATATATCTCTAGCTATGCGGGAAAGCACATGATATTTATTTGTTTTTCCTTTCCACCAAGTGAGAATATTAAATGTAGGAGAATCATCTTCAACACCATCCTCCAAATACCTTTCCAACTCATTTTTTTGCACTTCACATTGTTTTTTCTTCATATTCATTCTAAACAAATTGTCCCAATCTTCATCATCTTCACCATTTTCAATTCTAGAATGAGAGGCAATGTTTGAAGATGAGGCATTGGAACCACCATCATGAGAAACAGGATACAAAAATAAATAGTGCTCAAACAATTTAGCAATGAGAGATTTCAATTTCTTTAACATATCCTCTGACAATTTTTCACCATACATCCGAGTAAAACAAAATTCAATATAGTCAAGCTTATAACGAGGATCAAGATAAATAGCAACAAAGAGAAGATAATTTATTGTATTGCTTTCCCAATACTTGTTGTACTTCAATTGCATATTTGCTGTCATGGTTTTCAAAATTGGATTACTAACATTGTGCCTCCATTTATTCAACGTTTTTTTTAATATCCATCAACTGTTTGAAAAAAGAGTTAGCAGTAACATGCAATGACCCATGAAAAGAAAGTGTGGCATCATAAAAAGTTTTCAAAAACTTCACAAAAATATGAGCTCGTTCCCAATCAGCTCGATTAGGACATCCTTTCGACTCAATACGAAGATTAGTTAAAAATGCAACATCAGCATGTTCTAAGCGGTAAAATGCATGTTCATACTTTTCAGCGATGTTCAACATTAAATAAGTAGAGTTCCATCTGGTTTCTACATCTAGTGTCACCAATGCTTTAGAACATACACCAACAACTTCTGCACACTTCTTGAAAGTAGCCAACCTACTAGGAGAAGCCTTGACAAACTTACATGCAACCTTAATTCTTTTAACAGATTCATCAATATCCTTTATTCCTTCTTTGACAATCAAGTTTAATATGTGAGCACTACATCTCATATGCAAGTACTCCCCATTAAACAAAATATGACCATTCCAAAAACTCATGCCTCGATTTAAATAATCAATTGCCAAATTGTTAGCACTTGCATTATCAACAGTCACACAACATATAGACTTGATACCCCATTCCTTCATGCAATTCTCTAATGTTATCCCTATAGTTTCACCTTTATGGTCAGCAATTATACCAAAGCTTAATATACTCTTCTTTAAATTCCACTCGTCATCAATATAGTGAGTTGTAACACACATATAATTCATATTCTGAATCGATGTCCAAGTATCAGTGGTAAGAGACACCATTTGTTTATTAGCAGACAACATAGATTTCAATTTTTCTTTCTCATCGAAGTACAAGCATAAACAATCTCTGGCAACAGTGACACGAGATGGAATTTTGAATCTTGGTTGAGCCTCTTTCATGAACATATTAAATCCTTCATTTTCAACATATTTAAAAGGGAGCTCATTAATGATTATCATCTTTGCAAGTGTTAATCTAGTCCTCTCTTGATTAAAATCAACAAGTTTCAAGCTAACACTATTAGGATCATCCTCACTTTCTTTTCCAATAGCTATAGTTTTTTGTTTCTTATCAACTACCCTATTTGGATTTTTCAGGCACACTTTCAAATGTTTATGCATGTTAGTAGTGCCATGATTACCACTATTTGCAGCATATTGTTTCCCACAATACTTACATATAGCCTTATCATTAACCCTTTTAAAATCTTTCCAAACTGTAGAAGATTTTCTAAAGGGTTTTCTTTTGCTTACCTCTATTAGTGCACTTGGTGGCAATGATGACAACCCTTCTCCTTGTATTTGTTGAACTTCTTGCTCTTGTTCAAGGGTTTTCTTTTGCTTACCTCTATTAGTGCACTTGGTGGCAATGATGACAACCCTTCTCCTTGTATTTGTTGAACTTCTTGCTCTTGTTCAAGTGGATGAGCAACATCTTCACTGACAATTTGTGATTGTTCCACTTCCATTTTCTATAAAAAAACAATTTTTAATATAAATTATTATTAAAACAACATTAAACAAAATATATTTGAATTAATAATATGAAACAGAACAAGACTTTGCATCAAAATATATTTTCATCATATGAAACAAAATAGTACTTTGCATCATATGAAACAAAATAGTACATTACATTGAACCTATCATCATATTTTGCATTGATATAAAACTATTGAAGTACATACTGTAAAAATAATATATTGCATTGAAATAAATATATTGTAGAACTATAAAAAGTATAAAACCTTATTCAATATGGAGACAAAACTATGAGAGAGTCAAAGTATAGACTGTGGATTTTCGAAAGTAAGATGGAATTGGAATGTGAGAGAGTAAAATGAAAAAAAAAATCGTGAGAGAAAGAGGAGTGGTGACGTTTGAGATTTGCCGTAGTAAAAAAATAGGGTTAGGTTAAGTGGTATTGTCTTTAGTTTAGTAAGTTTCTAATATATACTTAATTATTATTAGTTAATAAAGATTCATTAAAAAAATAAAAAGACAGTAAAGTGTAAACTAGAAGTGCATAAGTCAAGCAAGCATGATTAATATTAATAATAATGTTTAATTATAATAATAATAATAATTTAATGTGTGATTAGAAACTGGAAGGAAAGTGCAAAAGATCTTTGTGTACGTTACAATTTACAAAGTTATAGCAACTTTAAAATTTATAAATAATAATATAATAATAATAATAATAATTAATTATGCCACGTCAACGGGTTGGGTCAACGGGTTCATGGGTTTAGAAACTAAAACCCAATACCCGAACCAAATCTATACGGGTTGTTACGGGTTGGGTCGGGTATACCCGTAAATGAATGGGTCCGGGTAATTAGTGGGTTGATTCGGTTTGGGTAGGCGGGTTTGCGGGTCGACCCGCACCCATGAACACCCCTACATATCGTATAAAATATATTTAAATATTTTTATAAATTTGAAGTGATTTATTTAATTATAAATGAATAATTTGTATATACTCAATTAAATTAAATAACAATAAAAAAGAAACTTGTGAGATTGAAAAAGAAAAAAATTAGCATTTGAAAATAAAAATTTTCTCTTTTAAATAAAAATAATTGTTATCAAAATAAAATAAGTATCATTTCAATAGTGATAAAAAATTAACTATCAAATATAATCTAATTTAATGAAATAAATTATTAATTTTATTTTAAAAAAATAATTAATAATTTTAATGATAATAAATAAATAAAAATGATTAAATATATCGTTAAAAAATATTTAAAAGAAAGTAATCAAACATACTAATCTTCTCAAATAAATTAATAAGTATATTTTCATTTGTTGATAGTAAAAATTTATCTCATAAAATTGCACGATATATATTTTTAATGTGATATATATAACACAAAATTCTATAATATCAAAATAAAATAAATTTCTGCTTGTTATTTTTTAATTGTTAGATCAAAATTGAATTTGAACTCTCCTAAATATTATGTAAAGTTGAATTAGAATCTCAACAACCAACTTTTATACAATTTCGTCTATCACAAAAGAGTTAAAAAAAACTTATAGATCAACCTTGTGTCACTTCTTTATTTCAATGTTTTAAAATTTTGCTATCGTGAAACTATTATTTTTAATTTTAATTTTAAATTTTATTGAATTATATTTTAATATTTTCCTCTTAATAATTATATTTTACTAAATTTTATCTATTACTTATAATCAAAATTCTTTTTAACTAATTCATACACTTCATTCTACATTAAAAATCATTGCATAGTTAGATTTTCATAAGAAAATGAAATATTATAAGCATTTGACTTCTTATACTTAAAATTTTTAAAAATAAATAAAGAAATACACAGAATGGACCCCACGCGACGTCTTTGCTTCAATCACGGGATCCCACGTGGATGCTTCCCATTCGTGGACCCCACGCTGACGTGTTTATACCTTCGCTGCAAAAACCCAAAATCAAACTAACTCAGATAACAATAACATAACATAAACACGAAAGGGTGAAGCAATATTCAAAACTTGAAATTGAAAACGCAAAACAGAGAAAAAAACGCGATTTCTTTTATTAATTTCCTTTTTATTTTCTCTCTTAAACCTAAGCTCGCATTTTTTTTTCTTTATATTTCACTATTACTTTATCTTCTCTCCGCATTCTAGGGCTAAATTACCTAAACATTTTCCGAGAAATTAGAAAAGCTTAGATTGATCAAAAACAATTTTGTAAAAAAAATAATTAAAAATAAAAAAAATAATAAACGCGGAGAAGAAGATTTTGAACCTAGATCGATCTTGTTGATTCTCATCATTTCCACCATTTTTGATTTTTGATTTTTGATTTTTGGTAGAAAGCATTTCTTCGCAGCTGCGATTTCAATTTTCTGTGCGATTTTTTGGTTTTGAATGGTGTTTTTCTTTTTCCCTTTTCGGAGGGAGGAAGGGAAATTTGTTGGATCTGGTGAATGTTGAGAATCGGATGAGAGAGAATTTGTTCATATGTTTAAAGGATCGAAAGAGGGAAGAACGATGAAATGGGTTACATTGCTTAAAGACTTCAAAGAGAAGGTTGGAATCACTCAATCTTCGCCACCGGCTTTAACTGCTTCTTCTTCTGCTCAACCTTCATCTTCTTCTCGTGAAAACAATGCCTTCTCAGCTTCGCAAGTCTCTTCTTCATCTCCTACCAGGTTTTCATTTATCTATTTTTGTTTGTTTGTACAAATTATTACGACACAGCACTTTGTTATGTGATTTTGTTTGAGTTGGATGATTTGAGTATGTATTGGCTTCAATTTGCTGGAAAGAGGTATATGAAATGATGAAATGGATTTGATTTAGGTCAAATGTTGACTTACTTGGAGTTCGAAGATTCTTTGTTGATTTCTACTTGCTGCTATTTCTTCTTCCTTATCTGAGATTTAACTTTAAGGTTTTTTATTACCGATTTGTTAACGAAAGGGAAGAAAAATCTCGGTGGTTGAAGTTGGAGTGATTGAGTTTGTGTTTCTTTTTTCTTCTCGTTATTTGTAATTTGCCTGTTTCAGTATATTTCAGCTGCACACACACAGACACAGGTTCTAACTTAGTCACATGGTTAGTTATTTTTTTCTATGATGTAGGAGTGTTCAACTACATTTCCTTGAATGCTTTTTTTTTTTTACTAAATACTACCATGGTGGTTATATTCCATTTTGGTACCGGGGGCTGGTGCACATATAGTAGTTATTTGTTGGTTATGGAAGCTTAAATGCGAGGTAGGCCATCTTTGAGTCATGGGTGCCTCAATCAGGGAATCGGGTTTCAAAATTTGGACTATTTGGCTTATCTCCTTCTTTGGTTTTGTCATTTATGACTGCTAAATGGCCAGGTTTATTGATTAGAAGATTTAAATTGGAAAATGTTTAGATTGATGAAAACAAACAACTTATTTCTTTCACACATCCACTCATCACTGAACATGTAAGCTGCTGTTTAATAAATTTATCGCAACATGACAGCATTGACGGATTGTAGAAAATGGCTTGCTTTGGTTTACTGTTTGAGCTAATTTAATTATAACAACATACATTTGTAATTGGTGATAACTGATTGTCATGAATGGTTTATTGTTATGACGTGCTTTGGTTATGATGTTAGATGTGACTGTGACTTTATTTCCTTTAAATCAGGGACAGACATGAGCTGGAATTGGATTTCAAGAGATTCTGGGAAGAGTTTAGGTCATCCAGCTCTGAGAAGGTTCTTGTCATTGTTTGATCTCTTTGATATCTAATGCATGTTTGTCCTGCCATCGTTAAGAGATTAGGAGTTGATAATGTTCAATCTCATTTTGTTGCAGGAAAAAGAAGCGGCCTTGAATTGGAGTATAGATTCTTTTTGTAGATTAGTAAAGCAGCAGGCTAATGTAGCTCAATTAGTTACCATGTAAGGAATCAATTTCTGCTTAGCTTTTTTGCATTGCCATACGTGCTTTAACCTATATTCTACTTCATTGATGAAAAAACAAACCAAACTGAAAAATAGTTCAAGAAAATCAAACTGAAGTGCATTTATTTTCAATTTTGATCAAACTGTTCTTCATATAGAGTACCAAACGGATTACTTCTGCTGAAGTGGTTCAATCACTTGACTATGAACTAATATTAAATAGTTGAAAGATTTGATTCCTGTAACTGATTACAAAACACATCCAGCAAAGAAGTTAAATATTAACAAGGTTTTACGGCATTGTTGATGTCAGATTTTTATATTGCTTAAGAACATTTTTGTGTGGATAAAACCCCAAACCTTAGCCAAATTGTGTTTGCTAAAATGCTCAGAGTTTTGTATTGCGGGAATCTGACATTGCAAATAACAGCGTAACGAAAAAAAAAACTGACTTTGATGAATGAAACAACAAAAATATATCACAACCATTATAGTTGTTAAGAATTATTATCAGATAAATACTGTACCAAACCACGAACACAACAGAGGCAGAGTATTGACTTGGACTTGAATAGAATAATGCACATTATACATGTGAAGCGCAAGTGATGGAGTAACAATGCCAGGAAGCGCAAAGCGTATTGAAGCTGTTGATCAACACGACCTGTGAGATAGTAGCAAGTGAAGTTACAGCACTTCATATAGACTAATGTTTATTGACCCTAGCAGTTCGGTTCTTTCTGTTAACGTACTGAACTGAGTTTAAAGCTTCAGTTAGTGAACTGCGTTTAAAAGGCTTGGTTGGTTCACAAACTGACACCAACAGTTCAGTTCTTTTTAGATAGCTTCAGATCTGTTCTATAGCTCAGTTCAGTTTGGTTTATTTGACCCGTCCTAGCTATTGATTAGGCAGTAGGAGGAGTTGTTGGCCCAACCCTAGTAAGAGGCAACATGTTTTTTCTGTGTATTTGCTTTATCTGTCTGGTGCATAATGCTACTTAAGTATTATCTGTCTTTGTTGTACTTGGATATAAATAAGCATTCATGAAGGTCTAAATTTGAGGACTTAAATTGGAAACCCTCTTAAATGAATTTTGAATATGTAGTTGATGCACTTTATGGTCCAGAAGGTCAAAAGCATTTTATAAAAATATGGATGGTATTTTCAGTTGTAGGCAAAAAACTGTCACATTCCTTCAATAGTAGATTTAAAGTCACCATAATCATAAGTAAACTTTAGATCTGGTTTGTGTATTCTCATTTTTTCTGAGAATTTTGAAAAGTGCTGACTGTATATTTGGAAAATTATGTTATTCATCCTGGGCATCGGTGTTTGCTAACCAACTTTCTATAATATTAACGGTGAACAGGTTAGTTGAAACACATATATTCTCTTTTGTTGTGGGACGAGCATTTGTAACAGATATAGAGAAGTTAAAAATCAGCAGCAAAACAAGATCTTTGGATGTTGCTAAAGTTTTAAAGTTTTTCTCTGAAGTCACAAAGGTTTGTCTTTGACATTTCTTTCTTGGGATGAGTATTTGTTGCTGCTAATTATTTTGTTTTCTCAAATAAATTTTTGTGATAGATACTCTTCTGTGCAGGATGGCATCAGTCCAGGAGCAAATTTATTAACGTCAGTGGGAATCCTTGTATCTGGGGTATGCTTCTTAAAAGATTTAGGGCCAAGTCATTTTATTAAGAACACCACAGACTTGTGTTTCAATCTGACATTTGTTCATTGTTTCATAAAAGTCTCAGTTTAATTATTATTTTCGACCTTTGTCATTCGTTTACTGTAGTGTTTAAATCAAATAGGTTTGTTGTTTATTCGTGAAAGTGCCTGGTGTTGCTTAATAATTATAACCATTGGATAATTTTTCATAATCATTGTATCATACATTTGTTATTTTTCTAATGAGCAACTAAGTTGTAGTTTTTTTGTATATTTTCTTACAGCCTATTGACAAGCAATCTCTACTTGACTCTGGAATATTTTGCTGTCTCATTCATGTTCTCAATGCCCTTCTCGATCCTGACGTGACCATTCAAAGGCCAAATAATGCTACCGATCATGAAGAACATTTGGTTTTACAAAAAGAATATAATGGTGATATTGGGCATAACCGGCGGCTTGAGGTTCATTTCTCCTCATGATATATATACCTTGTGTATCTTGTTTGTGTTTTTACACATGTTGGATTACTCACATTTTTATCTTAAATTAGTTTTTCCTTTCCTTTTTTATAGTTGATTATGAGTATATACTTGGGATAATCCAGGTCCCAATTGTAAATTTTTTTATTTAATTTGCAATTCGATCTATTTTTTTTATGTAGATAGAGGGAAGTGTAGTGCATATCATGAAAGCACTAGCAAGCCATCCATCAGCAGCTCAGAGTTTGATAGAGGATGATTCACTTCAGTTGCTTTTTCAAATGGTTGCCAAGGGGTCTTTGATTGTGTTCTTACGTTATAAGGAAGGACTTATTCCTTTGCACAGCATTCAACTTCATAGACATGCTATGCAGGTAAAGAGGGGCACCCCTGTCTTCTGTTAAAATATTGGTGAAAAATACATAAATGTTGTTTGTAATGAGTAGTTTGAGTTGATTCTATGATTCTAGTGTTTAATATTCACGCTACTGCTGTTTATATAATTTTAGATACTTGGTCTTCTTTTGGCTAATGACAATGGAAGCACAGCCAAATACATCCGCAGGCATCTCCTGGTATGCCATTGACTTTCAAATCTTAATACTTATTGTACGTCAAGTAGGGTCTTACAACACCGATCTTATACTTTTTGTTTAATATATTATTATCATGTAGTTTATGTTCAGCTTTTGCCACTTCAATTGCAGAATAGCATATGCCAATGTTCAATATTAATTGTGGGATAGTGTGGGTTGGTGTGATTCTAGGATTTAAATTTTATTTTGAAAGATCTTTTATTACTTTCTTTGTCATTGTAATCCCACATTAAGAGAAAGCCAGGTGTGCAAAGCCATAGTTGTTGTACTAGTTTTCAAGAAATTACGTCACAGAGTGTCCCTTGTACTGTGAAATCATGTATAGGTAAAATATATTGCATTTTTGTTCCAAAAATATGTTTTATAATTGAAATGTAAACTTCAAAGCTATAGGAAAGTGCAGAGGAGAAAATTGTATCAACATTGGGCTGGAGTGCTAGCAATTTTGGCTTGGTGGGAAACTAAATAAATAATTGGCCTAGAAAAGCTATAGGAACTACAGTCCCTTCTGTCAATTGGTTGATTTTGTTTTCTTATCAATTTGTTCACTCAAAGAAAAGACAAGTCAATCTGCCTCAATGCATGTACAAAATATAACTTTTATAATGAATTAGTACTTTACTTCTTTATTGTGTCGAATAATGATTGACCAAATTAGAACTTGTACAGGCATGCTTTCAGTCACCAACATTATATGTTCCAACATATATCTAGTTGTCATGATCATGAAGCCACTTGACATCATTACTGAAACTTTTTTTTTTTGCTTACCCAAAGAAAGAAAGTTGTGATAGTCATCTTTTTGCTTGCATAATTGTTGCTACCACCTTACAACTCTAGAGGTGCATTAATGTCAATTCATATCTTATTGAGCTAGATAATTTTATGTTTGAAAATGTTAGGTGTACTGATCATAATGGATGATGTTCAGGTCCTTATTTGAAATTAGTGTCTAGCGCTGTTAGCATTGTTGTAGCATATTGCACCGATAATTATTCAGTATTCATATTAGTCATTTTTTATGCATTTGAAAATAACCCTTAATGCACCTTTGCCCAATGCAGATAAAAGTTCTTTTACTGGCTGTGAAAGATTTTGATCCTGATTGTGGAGATTCTGCTTATACTGTAGGCATTGTTGACTTGTTACTCAAGTGTGTTGAATTGTCATATAGATCTGGTAACTTTCTATTTGTTAGATACTTTTAACAGTATCATTGTCTAAAAGCTGCTTGAATTTATTTATTTTTCCCATTGGTGCTGAGTAGTTCTGATTTCCTAATTTAACTTTGCAGAGGCTGGTACAGTCAGATTGCGAGAGGATATACATAATGCCCATGGATATCAATTCCTTGTTCAATTTGCACTAACTCTTTCAAACATGACAGAAAGTCAGGGCTTTCAATCCATTCCTTCTGATGATGACAAAAATGTTACTCCAGATGAGTCCCAAAATAGCAGAGAACAAAGTTTCAATGAACAAGAAAAGTCTTCCATTCAATATCTCTCACCAACTCTGTCTAGGTTGCTAGATGTTCTTGTTAGTCTAGCTCAAACTGGGTTGATGGAGTCTCCACCTACTTATGGCGGTAAGGGTTCTAAACCTTCTCAGAGCAAGGGTGGTGGTCATATCAAAAGTCGTACCTTATCTAGTGACTGGCTTGGTGATGAATTATGGGAGAAGGACAATGATAAAATTAAGGACCTCGAAGCAGTCCAGATGTTGCAAGATATTCTCCTTAAAGCCAGTAACCAGGAGTTGCAGGCCGAAGTACTAAATAGATTGTTCAAAATTTTTTCAGGTCATTTAGATAACTACAAGTTGTGTCAACAATTACGTACTGTTCCACTTTTAATCCTAAATATGGCTGGTTTTCCTTCTTCTTTGCAAGAGATAATCTTGAAAATTCTCGAGTATGCTGTGACTGTAGTAAATTGTGTTCCCGAGCAAGAGTTACTGTCACTTTGTTGCTTATTGCAGCAACCAATAACATCAGAGTTGAAGCAGACAATACTTTCTTTCTTTGTAAAACTCTTGTCTTTTGACCAACAGTACAAGAAAGTTCTGCGAGAAGTTGGTGTTTTGGAAGTTATGTTAGATGATCTGAAGCAACACAGGATTTTAGGTCCAGATCAACAGAATGTTAACTTCAACCAGCTAGAGAGGAAAAGTAGCTCAAGTAGCTTTAAGAAGCATATGGGCAATAGGGATGTTATTATTACTTCTCCCAAGCTTATGGAATCTGGTTCAGGGAAGTTTCCTATTTTTGATGTTGAAGCTACAATTGCTATTGCCTGGGACTGCATGGTATCTTTGTTGAAGAAAACTGAGGCCAATCAAGCTTCATTCCGCTCCGCTACTGGTGTGACTACCGTGCTGCCTTTTTTGGTGTCTGATATACATCGTCCAGGGGTTCTCAGGACATTGTCATGTCTTATAATTGAAGATACCTCACAGGTTTGTTGTCACATTTTACAAAAATTTCCAAATTTCAATTATGACTGTTCCCTTAGTAAGTCACAGGAATTAAGAAAGTTGATGGTGGTATTTAAATTTATTGGCAATTGATATTGTTTTTACAAGTTTATCCTTCAAGAGAGAGTATTAGTTAATCTCTCCAATAGAATATTCATTACAAATTACACGAAAAGATGTAACATGATTAAGGTATGTTAGTAAAGAAATGATTAGTGCCCTTTAAAATTTCAAAGTTTTTTTTTTTAATAAAGGAAAAACTCAAGGTCTTATATTTAGGGATGAAAATAGAAGGTAGTATAAGATTGCTATCAGTTAGAACAATATTATTCTTGAATAGAAGGAGACGTAAACCATCGAATTCAAGCTGAATGGTTTAATTTGAGGAGGGCCTCAGAGAATTTATGCGACACGAAAGTACCGCTCAAGTTGAAGGAAGTTTTGTATTGGACGCCAATAAGGCCTGCAATGTTGTACGAGACAATATGTTGAGCGGTTGAGAGCCACCACGAGAATAAAGTTAGTGTAGTACAGATGAGGATATTGCGTTGGATGTGTGGTAAGACTAGTCGAGAATCGAGATAAGATTAAAAATGAAAATATTAGTGTTGGGGTAATTCTTATAGTAGAAAAGATGGAGGAAAATAAATATAGGTGGTTTGGGCATGTAGAGGGAAGACGTGGATTCTGTTGTAAAGAGAGTAAATTAGATGAAGAGGAGTCAAACAACTAGAAACAACTAGAGGTAGCTGACTCCACTTTGTGGGATAAGGCTTGGTTGTTGTTTGTGTTGGGATGCAAACTACCTTTAAGATTATTAATGTTGCTTTATTACTCTCTTGAAATCATCAAGATGATTGATTATCTTGTCTCATTATAACTTTTTCCAGGCCCATCCTGAAGAATTAGGTGTTTTGGTTGAAATTTTGAAAAGTGGAATGGTAACCAGTGCATCTGGATCCCAGTACCGGCTTTCCCTTGATGCAAAATGTGACACTATGGGAGCACTGTGGCGTATCCTGGGAGTTAATAGCTCTGCTCAGAAGGTTTTTGGTGAAGCCACTGGTTTTTCTCTATTGCTTACGACACTCCATGGGTTCCAAAGTGATGAAGACTTGGACCAATCCTCATTGAATTTTTACACAAAGGTTTTTACCTATTTATTGCGCGTTGTAACTGCTGGAGTGTCTGACAATGCTGTTAATAGAATGAAACTGCATGCAATTATATCGTCACAAACTTTCTTTGATCTTCTGTGTGAGTCTGGCCTACTTTGTGTGGAGCATGAAAAAGAAGTCATCCAGTTGATGTTAGAACTTGCTCTTGAAATAGTGATTCCGCCTTTCTTAGCATCAGAAGGTTTGACAAAATCAAACGCAATTGAGAACGAGTCTTCTCAGAATCTTTTATTGACTCCGTCAGGTCCAGTTAATCCTGATAAAGAGCGAGTTTACAATGCTGGCCCTATTAAGATTCTGATTCGTTCATTATTGATGTTCACTCCTATGGTGCAGTTAAATTTTTTAGACTTAATTGAAAAGTTGGCTCGTGCTGGCCCCTTTAATCTGGAAAGCCTCACTTCAACAGGTATTTTCTACCTTGTTTACCTCAATTCTTTTATTTGCTATTCTTAATTCTCACTTTTTGTCCTGGTATTTATAGGTTGCGTGGAACTTTTGCTGGATACAATCCACCCTTTTCTTTCGGGTTCATCTTCCTTACTCTCTCGTGCATTGAAGATTGTAGAAGTTCTTGGTTCTTACAGGTAGGGTGCATGTTATTGGCTGTTCTCTAAAGTAAATACTTCGATTTGATCTGCTCCTCTATTATATTTGAATAACATCATGTCTCTGTTGATTAGGCTATCTGCATCTGAACTTCGTACGCTCATTAGATATGTTATACAAATGAGGATGAAAAATTCTGGTCATATAATTGTTGAAATGATGGAAAAATTAATTCTGATGCAAGACATGTCCTCAGAGAATATTTCTCTAGCACCATTTATTGAGATGGATATGAGCAAGATTGGGCATGCTGCCATTCAGGTTTCGTTGGGTGAAAGATCATGGCCTCCAGCTGCTGGTTATTCATTTGTTTGTTGGTTCCAGTTTCAAAATTTTTTGAAATCACCATCCAAAGATACTGACCCTTCTAAAGCTGTCCCTTCCAAGAAGCGCTTTGGCCCCAATGGACTACAGGAGCGACATGTCTTAAGGATTTTTTCTGTTGGTGCTACTAACAACGATGAAGCAACCTATGCTGAACTTTATCTCCAGGAGGATGGCGTTTTAACTCTTGCAACCAGTAACTCTTCCTGCTTATCATTTTCTGGTTTAGAACTTGAAGAAGGAAGGTGGCATCACCTTGCAATCATTCACAGCAAGCCAAATGCTCTTGCTGGGCTGTTTCAAGCTAGTGTTGCATATGTTTATCTAAATGGGAAGTTAAGGCACACTGGGAAGTTAGGATACTCGCCCTCCCCACCTGGTAAACCATTGCAAGTCACTATTGGAACATCAGTTGGCAGTGCGAGAGTTAGTGACTTAGCATGGAAACTACGCTCTTGCTATCTTTTTGAGGAAGTGCTTACACCTGGCTGTATTTGTTTTATGTATATACTTGGTAGAGGATACAGAGGGCTCTTTCAGGATACTGATCTTCTACAATTTGTACCTAACCAGGCCTGTGGTGGTGGTAGTATGGCCATATTAGATTCTTTAGATGCTGATTTGACTTTGGTTGCTAATGGTCAGAGAGTGGATACTATTAGCAAGCAGGGAGACCTAAGGGCAGATGGAAGTGGAATTGTTTGGGATTTGGAGAGACTTGGAAACCTTTCTTTACAGCTTTCAGGGAAGAAACTCATTTTTGCATTTGATGGAACTTCTACAGAATTTATTCGATCTTCAGGTAGTTTTTCAGTGCTCAATTTGGTTGATCCTACGTCAGCTGCTGCGTCTCCTATTGGAGGTGTGTATTTAAATTTATAAAGTTACATATTTTGTTTCTTTCTCCAGCTGGAATTGTTTCTTCAATTAGTTTATTGATATTTTTGGGGTTGTAGGTATTCCACGTTTTGGACGACTCTGCGGAGATGCTTACATCTGCAAGCAAGATGTAATTGGAGAGACTATCCGTCCTATTGGTGGGATGGAACTTGTCCTCGCTCTTGTTGAAGCTGCTGAAACTAGGGATATGCTGCATATGGCTTTGATTTTACTTGCCTGTGCTCTTCACCAAAATCATCAAAATCTTAAGGACATGCAAACATATAGGGGATACCACCTGCTTGCTCTTTTTTTGCGTCGTAGAATGTCATTATTCGACATGCAATCTCTTGAGATATTCTTTCAGATTGCTGCATGTGAAGCTTCATTTTCTGAACCCAAAAAGTTGGAAACTACCCAGGCTAACATGTCTCCTGGTGCATCACTGCAGGAAGCCAATCTCGAGGATAGTTTTTTGTCGAAGTTTCAGGATGAGAATTCTTCAATTGGGTCTCATGGAGACATGGATGATTTTTCCGTACCAAAAGATTCGTTTAGTCACATTTCAGAGCTAGAAAATACTGATATTGCTGCAGAAACTTCAAATTGCATTGTCTTGTCAAATGCGGACATGGTTGAACATGTCTTGTTGGATTGGACATTGTGGGTAACGGCCTCAGTTTCAATCCAAATTGCATTACTTGGTTTTCTTGAAAACTTAGTGTCTATGCACTGGTACAGAAATCATAACCTTACAATTTTGCGGCGAATCAACCTTGTTCAACATTTACTAGTTACATTGCAAAGGGGTGATGTTGAAGTTCCTGTCCTTGAAAAATTGGTTGTGTTGCTTGGAGTCATTTTGGAAGATGGGTTTCTATCTTCTGAGCTTGAAAATGTGGTTAGATTTGTGATAATGACATTTGATCCACCAGGGTTGGCTCCACAACGTCCAATTATGAGAGAATCAATGGGAAAACATGTGATTGTTAGAAATATGTTACTAGAGATGCTAATTGATCTACAAGTCACAATTAAATCAGAAGAGTTGCTTGAGCAGTGGCATAAAGTTGTTTCTTCCAAGTTAATTACATATTTTCTTGATGAAGGAGTTCACCCCACAAGTATGAGATGGGTCATGACTTTACTTGGCGTATGTCTTACTTCCTCTCCAACATTTGCACTTAAATTTCGAACTGGTGGAGGTTATCAAGGTTTGGTTCGCGTGCTCCCCAGTTTCTATGATTCCCCAGATATCTATTATATTTTGTTCTGTTTGATATTTGGCAAGCCAGTTTATCCTAGGTTACCAGAGGTCCGAATGCTGGACTTTCATGCTCTTATGCCAAATGATGGAAATTATACCGAACTTAAATTTGTAGAATTGTTGGATTCTGTGGTTGCTATGGCAAAAACTACTTTTGATAGAGTAAGCATGCAGTCAATGCTTGCCCACCAAACTGGCAATCTTTCACAGGCTGGTGCAAGCCTTGTGGCTGAGCTTATAGACGGAAATTCAGACATGGCTGGTGAGCTTCAAGGAGAAGCTCTTATGCACAAGACCTATGCTGCTCGTCTTATGGGTGGAGAGGCATCGGCTCCTGCTGCTGCAACTTCTGTTCTACGATTCATGGTTGATCTGGCTAAGATGTGCCCCCTTTTTACTGCTGTTTGTAGGCGTCCAGAATTTCTTGAAAGCTGCATTGACTTGTATTTTTCTTGTGCAAGGTTTGTTTTGAGATGATCTCTTGGGATCTATTTTGCATTACTTCTCTTATATTTCCTACTTCTAATCATAGGTTACTGCATACATTACATTGCATGAAATGAGTCCTTTTCATTTATCAAAAGCTTTTGTTCTTTCAGGGCTGCACATGCTGTTAAAATAGCCAAAGAACTCTCTGCAGTGACGGAAGAAAAAACCTTGAATGATGGCGATGATACCAGCAGTTCCCAAAATACATTTTCTAGCTTGCCTCTGGATCAGGATCAGTCTGTCAAAACCTCTATTAGTGTCGGTAGCTTTCGTCAAGGGCAGGTAAGTTCAAGTTCTGATGATATGGCTGCACCAGCAAACTCTATGGTTGGTGAGAAATCAGACAATGTTACAGTAACAAAGCCAGAGTCAAATGTTACTGTAACCGAGCCAGAATCAAATAAATCTCTTCATGAAGACACACAAACTGTTCAAAGCTTGGATGGTGATATTGCTGACCAGGGCTCTGTCTCTTCCAGTGCACATGAGTTTAGCTTTCACAGTAGCAAAGGAAATTTAGACATTCACATGCCAACATATTCCCAGAGTTCTGCATCTCTTGCTGCTCTGGATTCTCCTGTTTTTTCGGAAAAATCCAGTTCTAAAATTCCTGTTACACCTTCTTCATCACCAGTTCTTGCGTTGACATCTTGGCTGGGAAGCTCAAGCCATAACGAAGCAAAATCTCCCGTAACTCCTACTCCTTCCTTCAGTTCTTCTATGTCGGCTGTGGAATTTGATTCAACTTCAAACCCAAAGTCTAACTTTCAAGAGGCATCTTCTGCAAATTCTTACTTTACAGTAACCTCGAAGCTGCTTTTGGATATAAATGATTCTGGATATGGTGGTGGTCCTTGCTCTGCAGGAGCTACTGCTGTATTAGATTTCATAGCAGAAGTCCTTTCTGAATTTGTGACAGAACAGGTGAAAGCATCACAGCTTATAGAGAACATCTTGGAAAGTGTTCCTCTATATATCGATAGTGAATCTGTGTTGGTTTTCCAAGGACTGTGTCTTGGGAGGTTTATAAACTTCCTTGAGAGGCGACTGCTGCGCGACGATGAAGAAGATGAGAAAAAGTTGGATAAGATTCGTTGGTCGTCAAATTTGGATGCTTTGTGCTGGCTGATAGTGGATCGGGTATACATGGGTGCTTTTCCTCAACCTTCAGGGGTACTGAAAACTCTTGAGTTTTTGTTGTCGATGTTGCAATTGGCAAACAAAGATGGTAGAATTGAAGAAGCTGCTCCTGCTGGAAAGAGGCTCTTGTCAATTGCAAGAGGAAGTAAGCAACTTGAGGCTTATATTCACTCGATTCTTAAAAATACTAATCGGATGATATTATATTGCTTCCTCCCAATTTTCTTAGTTAGTATAGGGGAGGATGATCTCCTTTCACGGTTGGGTTTTCTCGTGGAACCAAAAAAGAGACTATCCTCAACTTCTTCTCAAGATGATTCAGGGATTGATATATACACTGTCTTGCAGTTATTGGTTGCTCATAAAAGAATAATATTCTGTCCCAGCAATGCCGATACAGATCTTAACTGCTGTCTATGTGTGAATCTAGTATCTCTTCTATGTGATAAAAGACATAATGTACAGAATATTGCTATAGATGTGTTCAAGTATCTTCTGGTACATAGGAGGGCTGCATTAGAAGATTTGCTCGTTTCCAAACCTAATCAAGGGAAGCAAATTGATGTACTTCATGGTGGTTTTGATAAATTATTGACTAGAAGTTTGTCAGAGTTTTCTGAGTGGTATCAGACTACTGAACAGATTGTGAATAAGGTATTGGAGCAGTGTGCTTGCATCATGTGGGTACAGTATATTGCAGGATCAGCAAAGTTTCCAGGAGTAAGAATCAAAGGGATAGAAGGTCGGCGAAAGAAGGAAATGGGAAAAAAAACTCGAGAAGCTGCAAAATTAGATTTAAGGCACTGGGAGCAGGTAAATGAGCGAAGATATGCACTGGATTTAGTTCGTGATGCAATGTCCACCGAGTTGAGAGTTGTTAGGCAGGATAAGTATGGATGGATTCTGCATGCTGAGAGTGAGTGGCAATGCCATCTTCAGCAACTTGTGCATGAACGAGGGATATTCCCACTAAGTAAATCCTCTTTGACTGAAGAGCCAGAATGGCAGCTTTGTCCAATTGAAGGTCCGTATCGAATGCGGAAAAAACTTGAATGCTGTAGACTTAAAATTGACACCATACAAAATATTCTTGATGGACAGTTTGAATTGGAGATACCAGAGTTGTCGAAAGGAAAAGTTGACCATGGTCCTGATGCATCCGATTCAAAACCTTATTTTTCACTGTTGACTGATGGTGCCAAACAGAATAGCTCTGACAGTGAGCTGTTTGAACCTTTCTTTGAAGATACGTTGGATAGTGTTAAAGATGCAGTTTCTGAGAAGAATGAGTGGAATGAAGACAAAGCTAGTAGCATGAATGCAAGTCTGCATTCTGCACTTGAGCATGGTGCTAAGTCTAGTACAATGTCAGTTCCAATAGGAGAAAGCACACTAGGAAGATCTGATATGGGATCTCCAAGACAATCTTCTTCTGTTAAAGTTGATGATCTTAAAATTGCCGATGATAGGTCTGATAAAGAACTGTATGATAATGGTGAATACTTAATCAGACCTTTTCTGGAACCTTCGGAGAAAATAAGATTTAAATATAACTGTGAACGAGTTGTGGGTCTCGACAAACATGATGGTATATTCCTGATAGGTGAATTCTGTTTGTATGTGATTGAAAACTTTTATATTGATGACTCTGGTTGCTTTTGGGAGAAAGAATGTGAAGATGAACTCTCAGTCATTGATCAGGCTTTGGGTGTCAAGAAAGATCTTAGTGGCAGTTTAGATTTTCAATCCAAATCAACTTTGTCATGGAGCACAACAGCTAAATCATTGGTTGGGGGAAGGGCATGGGCCTACAGTGGCGGTGCATGGGGAAAGGAAAAATTACAAACCAGTGGAAACTTACCTCATCCTTGGCGCATGTGGAAGCTTGATAGTGTTCATGAGATTTTGAAGCGTGATTACCAACTTCGTCCTGTTGCTGTTGAAATATTTAGCATGGATGGATGTAATGATCTTTTGGTCTTCCATAAAAAAGAGAGGGAAGAAGTTTTTAAAAATCTAGTTGCCATGAATCTTCCACGGAATAGCATGTAAGAGTTATTTCTATTGCCTTATGTGATTTGTTAGAGCACATTTGTCGCCAATTTTTTGTTTTTCATATTTCTAACAAGTAGCATTATGCTTGACTTTATTGCTTGTTTGAGACTTGGGAATGTATGCTACAATATTGGTGATGATTGTAGCGTAAAAAGTCTTAAGATTGGAAGTATGTGCTATCAGTCAAGCGCTGCTCTTCTTTAGATGCTTTAGTGTTGTGTCATACATTTGTTTTTTTGCTTTGTTTTTTACTATGTTTTTCTGCTCTGTATTAGGCTGGACACAACTATTTCCGGATCATCAAAACAAGAAAGCAATGAGGGCAGCCGTCTCTTCAAAGTAATGGCAAAATCCTTTTCAAAGAGGTGGCAAAGTGGAGAAATAAGCAACTTCCAATACCTTATGCATCTCAACACCTTGGCAGGACGTGGATATAGTGATCTTACCCAATATCCAGTCTTTCCATGGGTCCTTGCGGATTATGAGAGTGAAAATCTTGATTTGTCTGACCCAAAAACATTCCGCAGGCTCGATAAACCAATGGGTTGTCAGACACCTGAAGGAGAAGAGGAATTTAAAAAAAGGTTGGTCCATATGAATTGAGGTCAAGATATTGTTTCAAGTTGCAAATTATTTTTGAATATATATGATGTATATTTGCAATCATTATCTGGGGATTATTAGCAAGTTTTTCCGTGTTTCTTGAAGCATGCCGATAAAATTAAATAAAATCTGTATACATTCGCAAACAAAGTTAAACAAATTATGAACTATAATATTTGCAGGAAACTTATAGTTTTGTGCACTTATCGTGAGTTAGTGCGTTATAATTATATCATAGAAAAACATAAAATTGTAAACATGACACCTTATCTTATCTTATAAGATACTTTCCCTTCTGATGTATCTCATTTACTTTATCATTTTTTATTAGATATGATAGCTGGGATGATCCAGAGGTTCCAAAGTTTCATTATGGATCTCATTATTCTAGTGCTGGAATTGTTTTATTCTATCTCCTCCGTCTGCCCCCATTCAGTTCAGAGAATCAAAAGCTTCAGGGTGGCCAGTTTGACCATGCTGATCGCCTTTTCAATAGTGTAAGGGATACTTGGTTAAGTGCTGCTGGGAAGGGAAACACATCTGATGTGAAGGAACTAATTCCAGAATTTTTTTATATGCCCGAGTTCTTGGAGAATCAATTCAATCTTGACTTGGGAGAAAAACAGTCTGGCGAGAAGGTTATACCAATGCAATATATTATTACTAATTTAAGTCTTCAGGAACAAAAATTAGGCTGAGTTACTAGTATATTTAATCATTCTGATGTTTCTTTTAGGTTGGGGATGTTTTCCTACCTCCCTGGGCAAAAGGTAGCGCTCGAGAGTTCATCAATAAGCACAGGGAAGCTCTTGAATCTGATTTTGTCTCAGAAAATTTGCACCACTGGATAGACCTCATTTTTGGATATAAGCAGAGAGGGAAGGTGGGTGTTTCATTTTGCTATACAGATACTTGCTTCCCATTTTCTTTGATTGATCTCATAATTACTGAATCTAATTATTATACTGTTTAATTTAGTATTTGTTTTAATTTAAGTTTTGCTATTCTATCTAATTTCACTTTCTTTAATCATTTACTACCCGTGGAAGGCATCTTGTTAGTTGTGGGACGTGATCATTATGCTCTACTTCATTTGATCAAACGTCCTAAAATGTTTTAAAGGATTATGTTTATTAAAAAGCTAAAAGGAACTGACCCTGATCCTTGCTCTGTATATTCTATATTACATGACATGCATTTCCACATTTATTGATGATCCTGTCGAGAAATACGTTTTTGACAAATGTGCTAATTTTACCTCCATTTTTTATTCCAGAAATATTGTCTCTTCTGTTTCTAATATCTACTTTTCTATACAATGAACAGGCTGCCGAGGAATCAGTCAATGTGTTCTATCATTATACATATGAGGGGAGTGTAGACATAGACTCAGTTACAGATCCTGCCATGAAAGCATCCATTTTAGCACAAATTAATCATTTTGGGCAGACACCAAAGCAACTGTTTCTCAAAGCACACGTGAAAAGGAAAATTGAGAGAAAACTTCCTCCTCATCCCCTTAAACATTCCAGTCATCTTGTTCCACATGAGATCCGCAAAAGTTCTTCACCTATCACTCAAATCGTCGCTCTCAATGATAAAATTCTCATAGCAGGAACTAACAATTTACTTAAACCAAGAACATATACCAAATATGTTGCTTGGGGTTTCCCTGACTGTAGCCTTAGATTTTTGAGCTATGAACAAGATAGACTTATTTCCACACATGAAAATTTACATGGAGGTAATCAAATTCAGTGTGCTAGTGTTAGCCATGATGGTCAGATTCTGGTTACTGGGGCAGATGATGGGCTTGTTAATGTTTGGAGAGTTAGTAAGTTTGGGCCTCGTGCCTTGCGGCGCTTGAAGTTGGAGAAGCCACTTTGTGGGCACACAGCCAAAATCACTTGCCTTCAAGTATGCCAGCCTTACATGCTTATTGTGAGTGGATCAGATGATTGTACAGTTATTATATGGGATCTCAGCTCGATGGCATTTGTACGGCAACTCCCAGAATTCCCAGCACCGATTTCAGCAGTTTTTGTTAATGACTTGACTGGAGAGATTGTTACAGCAGCTGGTATTCTTCTGGCAGTTTGGAGCATCAATGGGGACTGCCTGTCAATGATCAACACATCACAACTGCCATCTGATTCTATTCTCTCAGTGACAAGCAGTACATTTTCTGATTGGCAGGAAACAAAGTGGTACGCAACTGGTCATCAGAGTGGTTCTGTCAAAGTTTGGCAAATGGTGCACTTCTCTGACCCAGATAGCTCCCTCAGCAAATCAGGTTCTAGTGGGTTCAGAGCGTTAAATCTTGGTTCAAAAGAACCAGAATACAGATTGATCCTACGCAAGGTACTCAAGTTCCATAAGCATCCGGTTACCGCCCTTTATCTCTCAACTGATCTGAAACAGCTATTAAGCGGGGATGGAGAAGGGCACTTGCTTTCCTGGACACTACCTGATGAGAGTCTGCGAGGTTCGCTAAATCAGGGGTGAAGCTGGTGAATGATATTTAATTGTGCTGACTTTGGCTTTTGACTAGCCTTTAATAGTTGAATCCTAACACTGGCTTCTGATGGATCTCAATTGTTGAAAGATGGGTTCATGTTCATAATTAATGAAAATTTTAAAAGAATGCTGACAGGATTGAAACAGGGCAAACACGGTTGGTGAGAAAACCGTGAGACCACGTCACACGTAGGTGAAGCATCTGCGAAGAAAGCCGAGTGCAATGTGGAAAAGGAAGTCGGTGGTCTTGTATTTTTGGTGCCTGGCGGGGAGAGTATTTTGATTTTGCCAAGAGAGATCTACTGTTCTTTCTTTGATGTACATATATGTGAAGCAGCTTGTAGTTTGTATTTAAGTTGTATAGTAAAAAAAGCAAGTCGTTAAGTGGAACGTGATTGAAATGATAGGTACTATAAGAGTCATGGTTATGGGATAGTCGGTGGGGTACGTATAATCCATTTACGGAAATTCTTTTTCCATAGTAACACTGGGGCATTTCTTTTAGTGTGCTCCCTGAAAGTAATGAAAGAAACTTAAAGTTCATTTTCCTTTCATTTGCACATTTACTGAACATTACCCCCATTTTGTCCTCTGCTTATTATTGTTATTTTTTTTTTCTCTTGACGCAATATAATTTGTTAATCGAGAACAGAAGGGAATTTCAATATATCAATGAAAAAACAAATAGACAGAGAATATATTTTGGTTAACTAATGTGTCTCGCAATTTCTTTTTTCTCTATTTAAAGGTAAATATTTCTCCGGTGCTTTTAAATAGTTATAATGATAAATATTGATAAAAAATATCTATGTATTTTAATCTCAATAAAAAATATATATGTTATTCTTTTTATATTAATCAATCAATGATATATATTTGTTATGTATTTTATTTTGATGAATTATAGTAAATATTTTTTATTTTAAAATTATTTCAATTAATAAGTGAGTGGTTTAAATGAAATAGTTGTGTATGAATTACATGTATAAAAGGATATTTAAATTAAAAAAAATTATAATTAGTTTATTATATTTGTTTTTATTTTGATATTAAAAACACAATTTGTAATTATTTTTCTAATCATGAATATTTATTAAATATATGATTTTTATAATACATTTAAATTATTGTATTATATTTATTAATAATTAATAACCCATAAATGGTTAATGAATATTTATTAATTGTATAAATAGCAAGTGTTGGTGACTTATTTAAATAACTAATTATTAAATTAAAAATATTAAAATATAAGTAAAAATTGAATAAATAAAGGAGAAAATAATGTTTGTCTTGGAGGAAAAAAGATGCGAGGAAAAGTAAGTTACAAAAAATAGAGAGAAAATTATAAAAATGCGAGAATTCAAAATAAGAGTATTCAAATTCATATTTGTAAGAGATATATTCAATGATTAAATAAAATGTTAATTGTTACCTCTCGAGGTCATCGTAACGTGCTGTGTCTTTCTTCGGGGTGGTTAGAAAAGATATATAATTTGAAGGTAAATACTCATCCTATTCTATGGCTTGCATTCCACATTTCTGAAAATTCAAAAATATTTTTATTACTGTTTTGAGATGCATTTTTGAACGCATATAAAATCATTTGAGTTCTTGTATTTCAGTCAGCCACCTCATTTTTGTCAAAATCTTTTTCGGAGATGCATCTACTGTATATTCTGTACTCACTTATAGTGTATTTATTTGCTAAACTGTTTTATTTAACAATTAAGTGACGATTTCGAAGATGCATATCCAAAAATGTCAAGCGAAAAATTGAATAAAACACCACCATGCACGTTCTTCTTCCTTATGGTCAAACATAACTTCACTCTCAAAACTCTTAATAATATTTCTTCCATTCTCAATAAACTTTTCAACACCAAAACATCATTCTTAAGTTTTATCACATCAAAGGAAGTAAAAGAAGTTGAAGTTTAAGATAAAGTTCATTCATTTCATCCCTCGTTCCTTGCATTACTATGGTTTTTGAGCTGAAAAAAAGAACATTAAGTCCAAATATGCTTCTCTGAATTTAAGTTTCATGTGTTTTGGAGATGTATCTCTGGATTTGTCTGGTACTTTGAGTTTTAAATTTGTTTTTCTGTTATGATTGATATTACATATAGTGCACCCGAATATGTTTCTCCAAGCTACTGTGATGATGAATGTTAAACCAAATGAAGTGAAGGATGATGTTAAATCAGATGAAGTGAAGGGTGATGCTAAACTGGGTGCTAGACCAGTTGTTGTCGAGGTAGATGTTCATGAACAATTTACAAATAAACAAAAGTTTATTATTTGTGAACATATATGCTACAAAGGGTCCATGCGAAGGCTCGAAATTTGGGGGTTGGCGTTGTAATCAGAAGGTCTAACCACAGCTCAAATAGAAGACAAACATTTGTAACAATGTCATGCGAAAGAAGTGACACGTACTAACCACCGATGCAGAAGTTGAAACACGATGACACCAGATCTAGAAAATACAAACGTCTGCTTAAATTGCACGAATACCGTAAGACGAATGATACATGGAAATTTAATGTGGTTTCTGCTATACATAATCATGTCTTGTGTTACAAACTATCTGATCATCCCATTGTATGTCGCCTTATTCCGAAGGAGAAATAACTTGTTTTGGACATGACATTAAATATGGTGGCGCCTAAAAACATATATACTTGCAACTTTAAAACAGAAAAGTCCTTAAAATATTTCAAATGTCAAGCAAGTGTATAATATGCGCGCTCGAAAGAATAAGGTGATAAGAGGTCCAAGATTTGAAATGCAACAACAGTTGAATCTTTTGGATGATGACCACTATGTTTCTAGTTATTTCTAGATATAAAGTTTGTTATGCATTTTATTTTGATGAATTATAATAAATATTTTTCATTTTAAAATGATTTCAATTAATAAGTGAGTGATTTAAATGAAATAGTTGTGTATTAATTACATGTATAAAAGAACATTTAAATAAAATAAAACTATAATTAGTTTATTATATTTGTTTTTATTTTGATATTAAAAACACAATTTGTAATTGTTCTTTTAATCATGAATATTTATTAAATATATGATTTTTATAATAAATTCAAATTATTGTATTATAATTATTATTAATAATTAAAAAAACATAATTAGTAACTCATAAATGATTAACAAATATTTATTAATTGTATAATTGTATAAATAGCAAGTGTTGGCGACTTATTTAATAATTAAATATTAAATTAAAAATATTAAAATTTAAGTAAAAATTAAATAAATAAAGAAGAAAATAATGTTTGTTTTATTTGAGGGAAAGTAAATTACAAGAAAAATAGAGAGAAAATTATAAAAATGCGAGAATTCAAAATAAGAGTATCCAAATTCAGAGATATATTCGATGATAAAATGGAATGTTAATTGTTTCCTCTCGAGGCGTGTTGTGCCTATCTCTTAGGTGGTTATAAAAGATATATAATTTGAAGGTAAACACTGATCCTATTCTATGGGGTGCATCTCATATCTCTGAAAATTCAAAAATGTTTTTTTTATTAGTGTTTTGAGATGCATCTTTGAACGTACGTAAAATCATTTAAGTTCTCGTATTTTAGTCAACCATCTCATTTTTTTCAAAATATTTTTCGGAGATGCATCTATCGTATATTTTATACTCACCTATGGTGTTTTTATTTGTTAAACTGTTTTATTTAACAACTCAGTGACGATTCTTGAGAGACATATATGAAAATGTTAAACGGAAAATTGAATAAAACACCACCATGCATGTTCTTCTTCCTTATGAATAAACTTAACTTCGCTTTCAAAACTCTTAAAAAAATTTCTTCCATTCTCTGTAAACTTTTCAACACCAAAATATCATTCTTAAATTTTATCACATCAAAGGGAGCAAAAAAAGTTGGAGTTTAAGGTAAATTTTATTCATTTCATCCCTTATTCCTTGCATTAGTATGATTTTTGAGCTGAAAAAAAGAACATTAAGTCCAAATATGCTTATTTGAATTTAAGTTTCATGTGTTTTGGAGATGCATCTTCGGATTTTCCCGGTACTTTGAGTTTTAAATTTTTTTCTGTTATGATTGATATTTGATATAATGCATTCAAATATGTTTCCCCAAGCTACTGTGATGATGAATGTTAAACCAGATGAAGTGAAGGATGATGTTAAATCAGATGAAGTGAAGGATGTTATTAAACTGGGTGCTAGACCAGTTGTTGTCGAGGTAGATGTTCGTGAACAATTTACAAATAAACAAGAGTTTATTATTTGTGAACATATGCTACAAAGGGTCCATGTGGAGGCTGTAATATTAGGGGTTGACATTGTAATCAGAAGGTCTAACCACGATTCAAATAGAAGACAAGTATTTGTAACAATGAGATGCGAAAGAAGCGACACGTACCAACCACTGTTACAGACGTTGAAATATGATGACAATGGATCTAGGAAATACGAGCGTCTGCTTAAGTTGCACGAATACTGTAAGATGAATGATAATGGAAACTTAATGTGGTTTCTGCTATACATAATCATGCCTTGTGTTACAAGCTATCCAATCATCCCATTGTATGTCGCCTTATTCCGAAGGAGAAAGAGCTTGTTTTGGATATGACATTAAACATGGTGGCGCCTAAAAACATACTTGCAACTTTGAAATGGAAAAGTCCTCAAAATATTTCAAATGTCAAGCAAGTGTACAATGTGCGCACTCGAAACAACAAGATGATAAGAGGTCCAAGATCTAAAATGCAACAACTCTTGAAGCTTTTGGATGATGACCACTATGTTTCTAGGTATAAAGTTTGTGAGGATAACTGTTCGAGATATATTTTGGACTCATCCCAATTCCATTAAGTTGTTCAATACATTTCCTAATATTCTTATAATTGATTAAATATATAAGACCAACAAGTATTGACTCCCACGTTTGGAAATTGTTGGTGTTACTTCAACGAAGAAAACTTTTTTAGTGGGTTTT